AAGGTCTGCTGCACCTTTCGATGCTCGAAAAAGTTATTCATAAAGGATAATCCGTTGTTTGCACAAAACCGCAACAACTTCATGCCGTTATTGTTAAATTCGTTACGGTCGTTCTATGGAAATACGCCTTCCACTTTTCAATGTCGACTCCGATATGCGCATTAAAAACGGCCACGAGTATGAGAGACACCGGATTCAGCGGTTTCTTCAAGGAAAGAGCCATATTCTCCCACTAAATTGGGCACATAATCTTGTAACAAGCACAACGCTTCAGCCTGTTGTAGCTTGAGGCGGAGGATTGCCACTCTTCGCTGACAGGCTTCCACTCAATGATCCTATCAGCCAGGTTCGGTTTTACCACAGCACCAACACCGGCCTGAGCAAGCGTAGCTATATCAACACCTGAGTAGAATCGCTTTCATTCGCGGAGGTTCAAAATTCCAGAGCCTTGGCGCTTCGTTCATGGACTTCTCTGCACAAGCTTGCAAGTGACTGACGACAATTGCAACATATTATCGAGGAACGTAGAGATCGGCCTTAATTTCAGTTATAGCGTGATAAGCCAAAGTTAAGAATATTTTATCTGTGACTGCAACATCTATGCAGCGCGCAGTGACGTGTGATTTAATTTTTCAGTTTTGATTTATAAGAAAGAGGCAAGCATGGGACTAAGTTTTTGTTCAGCATGAACTATGAGTTCAAAGACGATGAATAGCATGTGCATATATGTTAAATGGTTCTAAACGTGCCAGGTAATGGCAGACATGTGGCACACCTTCACATACTGGATCCGAACACTACCGTAACAGAAGAACTGAAAGTCGTCGCCCACATAAGTTAGTAAAAAAAGCAACTGCGAAATCTTGTCATATCACCACTATCAGAACAGAAAATGAAGTCCAAGAATATAGGAAAGATCATTCATGCCACTTGTTAGTCAATAGTGAAATACAGTGTAACAGTGTTATGCTCATGCATGCATCACTCAGAGCCCTTGAACGGGAACCTCACTGCATAAAAAGTGCATACCTTCCAAAAAATACAACTTTCATATGATCTCGCATGAGAACATCGCGAATCTGGTGGATAGAATCACAAAACTCGTGAATTGAAGTCAGCAGCGAAGGGTCGAAAAGTTCATTTGGTTCGCTTAATTCTACAACACAAAAAGCAATGAAATCAAACAAAGCAGAAGTAACGAGCAGATTTACGCACTAACCTTCGAGAGATTTCGTCGTTTCCCGAATGTAATTTTCGATTTCGACATAAATACTGTTAATTCTAGCCTTCGCATCGACAAATCGCTGTAGCGGCGTCACCGGTCGATCGTCACCTGATTTCAGGTGACTTCTATCCACGGTTTGTGCTGCATTATCACCTACAAAGCCATAAGCTAATGGTTAGAAAAGAGAACTATCACTTCTCAACTTTAAAGGACAAACTTTCCGAAGCTCGTAAAAAAGCGATCTACATAAAAGCGTGCCCTTTTTGGTGGTTGATGGGTTTTACGGCTTCAAACAGGAAATTTCGATCACTAACAGCATTCTGGTTTTCATTTATACATCAAATTATGGCCATTAGGATAGTAATACTAGCCAACAAAGGCTCCTACCCAAGCTGCCCTCGCAGAAGCTGCAAATATTCGCCATGCAGCTCAGCCGCCGTTTTCCAGTGTGACCCAAAGGCAGAAAACGGGATACATGTGTCGGCACCATTACTCTCGGAACAATCCCACTGACAAAACTG